GGCTGAGCCACGTTCGACCCAAGAGCAGGTCGGAGCTGCAGTTCTTGACTGCAAAGACAGGCAGGGTCACTCGCACCCCTTGGACCTCTATGACTACCTTGTGACAAACCCCAGTGATCTGTTGCTTTCTCCCATCAGCCGTCTCTATCTCGAATAGGTATGACCTATCGAGGCTCAGTCCAACTTGTACCGCCAGGTCCTCGTCTATGATGACAGCCTCACTGCCGTTATCAATCACGACATCGAGTACCGCTTCCTCGTTTATAATCGTCTCCACGGCCCCGCTACCAAGTATATAAAACTTGTCTGGAGGCACACCTTCCATTCCATCGAGAAGGACCGTCGCCATCCGATCCGCTCTGGCAGTCACCCCCGTTACTGTCACTGTAGAAGCTTCCGCCTTAGGGGCGTGACCCTCCTCCGATAGTGGTATGCGAGTCTTCCGCGTGATCATCTGTAACTCATCACGAGCCGCCTTCGATGCTGCCAGGTACTCCAGAATAGAGCACTGCATGGGTTGCCGAAGGGCCCGCCTCAATAGCTCGACCGTGTCAATCTCGTCCAGCGAGCTCTTCATTAAGAACTTATTACCTCCCCGCTTTCGCGGCGAAAGGATAACCTCCTCTCCATCGACCCGCTGCCCGTCCTTCTCCGCCATCACGTAATCCGTGTCAGTTTTCTTCGATGTAGACCCTCTCGCCGACTTGGTGGCTGCCACCCTTATKGGTGTSGTCGCCATGTCCCCCTCAAAGGTTATCTTGATGCTCTGGCTCCTGACCGGCTCCATTCCTTTACTCGTCTTTATTCTCCTTGCTTCGACATTCTCCTTCATCGAAGGGAACATCGATACATCTCCGAGATCATCTGCCCACTTTACGTACTTGCGGTCGTCAAGCACGACAAGTCCCTCTTCTATTGTCCGTTTAAGGTCCGGGCAATCCCTCTTGATATGATCTTCCCCTCTACAGTAGACGCATGAGTTCCTCGGAGTAGATGCCCTGTCGTCTGCGCCTCTAGAGATCGAACTCCTGTCCGCCTTGGGGTCAGGCGACTTGGGATATGGTTCTGATGAGACGCCATATCCCCCTCTCTCATTCCGACCGCGCGGATCGTTGCGCCGGTCTCCTCCAAACCCTCCTTGCTCATACCGCCCTCGCGAATCATTCCGGCGGTCCCCCGAGTCATATCGTCCTCGTGACTCATCGCGTCGGTCCCCTCGGTCGTACCACCCCGGCGATTCGTCGCGCTGCTCTCTCGCATCTTCCCCACGCTCAAACCGTCCGCGCGACCCATCTTGTCGTTCCCAGTCCCGATCTCCTCTTTCATA